GCATCACCTCAGTCTCTGGATTCCCAGAGTGTTAGGATTACAGGTGTGAGCCACCTCACCTAGCCCCAAGTAACATTCTTAAATTGGTTATATCAGTAATCAAAAGGAGATTTAAGTCTGGGCACAGCACTTTGGGAGGCTGAGGGAGGATCCTTTGAGCCCAGGAATTCAAGGCTGGGTGAGTTACTACAATCAAGCCTGGGTGACAGAGTGAGATCCTGTCTCAAAAAAAAAAATTAAATTAAATTAAATTAAAACGATAATTAAAAAGGGAGAATTTATACAAGGGCGACAAAAATAAACATAATTTCTCCCCTTTTCCCAATACAGGCCTTTTGCTATTGATATAAATTATTTATCACTTTTAAGAATAAGGCTCCTAGTGTTGACTTTCCCTTTTCTAATAAATAATGTGGTATTTCTAAAAGAGCATGTCTCATGTGGCTTAGAAAAACATCTGGACAAATATAACTAACAAACTGTTAACAGTAGTTAGCACTAAACTTGGCATTTGTGATGGCGCTAGAGAAGACTTTTACTTTCCTTACTTTTGTTTATTTGACTATATGCAATGAGCATGTATTTCTTTTATCAACCAAAAAAATCAAAAAGTTATTTTTTAGAAAGACTCCCCCCCACCCCCCTGCCCTCTGCTTGTACTTTGGATCTAGCATTGTGATTTAGGATTAGTCACTTAATCAAAGATTAAGATTCTTAATCAAGATTCTTTTTTTGTTGTTGTTGTTGAGACAGAGTCTCACTTTGTTGCCCAGGATAGAGTGCTATGGCATCAGCCTAGCTCAGAGCAACCTCAAACTCCTGAGCTTAAACAATCCTTCTATCTCAGTCTCCTGAGCAGCCGGGACTATAAGCATGCACCACCATGCCCAGCTAGTTTTTTCTATATATTTTTAGTTGTCCGGCTAATTTCTTTCTATTTTTAGTAGAGACGGGGTCTCACTCTTTTTTTTTTTTTATCTTACTAATTTCTTTATTTTGAAAAACAGTTTTTTTTGTTTGTTTGTTTTTTTCGGCATATTATGGGGGTACAGATTTTAAGGTTTCAATAAATGCCCATTTCCCCCCCTCCCCCCAAAAGTCTGAGTCTCGCCGGGCATGGTGGCTCACGCCTGTAATCCTAGCACTTTGGGAGGCCGAGGCGGGAGGATTGCTCAAGGTCAGGAGTTCGAAACCAGCCTGAGCAAGACCCCGTCTCTACCAAAAATAGAAATAAATTAATTGACCAACTAAAAAAATATATATACAAAAAAAAATTAGCCGGGCATGGTGGCGCATGCCTGTAGTCCCAGCTACTCGGGAGGCTGAGGCAGTAGGATCGCTGAGCCCCGGAGATTGAGGTTGCTGTGAGCCAGGCTGACGCCACGGCACTCACTCTAGCCTGGGCAACAAAGTGAGACTCTGTTTCAAAAAAAAAAAAAAAAAAATATATATATATATATATATATTATATAGTCTCAATTTGATCTTTGTGAACTCCTGACTTCCTCTTTAATTGGTTTACCAGGATTTGCAATCCAGATTCTCTGTTTAAGCAGTTACACAAGTGTTCCATAATTTATTGTAGCCAATGTATATGTCATTGGTTGAAGTCCAATTAGATCATTATCAATTAGGGAGGGCTGCATGTTAACTGAGTGTACAAAGCTGTCTCCTATGCATCTGAAATACTAATAATTGCCCATCTTTGATGGTACTAGGATAATAATTTTACAACTCTCTCTTTGCTTTTGTAAGATTGAAAACTGGCCTGGATCATAGCAGTGGTAATACTTAGTCTATAAAAATGTAAAAATTAAAAAAAAGAGAGACCTACAACACCAGGAAACATTGTCATTTCAAATTTCTCACAATATGACATAGTTTTTACCTAATTAAAATTTTGTATGGATACGAAATCATAGAGAGGAACACCCACATGGCTTAGAATTCAAAATATCTCATGTATGAGATTTCTTAATTAAGCCTTTTCTGTGCCTACCAAGTATCAGTGGGTGAAAAATGCCTTCAATGCCATTTTAGCATTTCTAGTGCCCCATGTGGCTTGGTAGGATTCTTTACGCTGCCAGGTTAAAGCAGTTCCAGCTTTTCTTGTAGAAAAAGCCCACTCTGTTGGTTGATTAATTTTAAGAGATGCTGTAGTAGAATTGTGTGTAAAGAGACATTTTTTGTTTCCACATTTATGATCAAGCTTTTCCATATACAAATTAGAGACAAAACAACTTGCTCCTTACTATATGTGGAAGGCTGGGAGAATTCTTACTGTTAGCAATACTAATAAAAGTTAACATTCTCTGAGTATCTGCTTTTTTCAGGCATCATGGTTGCCATTTTGTCTTGCATTATTTTACTTAATCTTGACAAGGCTCTGTGAAGTATTATCTACTTTTTTCAAATGAGGAAAGTGAAATTTTTTTTTTTTTGAGACAGTCTCACTTTGTTGCCCAGGCTAGAGTGAGTGCCATGGCGTCAGCCTAGCTCACAGCAACCTCAAACTCCTGGGCTCAAGCAATCCTGCTGCCTCAGCCTTCCAAGTAGCTGAGACTACAAGCATGCGCCACCATGCCCGGCTAATTTTTTCTATACATATTAGTTGGCCAATTAATTTCTTTCTATTTATAGTAGAGTCGGGGTCTCGCTCTTGCTCAGGCTGGTTTCGAACTCCTCAAGCAATCCTCCCACCTCGGCCTCCCAGAGTGCTAGGATTACAGGCGTGAGCCACGCCGCCCCGCCTGAAATGAATATTAATTGCTACTCTTTATGAACAACATGGATCAACACTTTGAAGTCTCACTACAAGTGAATTAAGTATTATCTTCATGTTATAGATGAGACAAAGAGGCCTGAAAAAGTTTAGAAACTTGCCCGAGGTCACGCAGTGGTGGAGCCTTTCCACAGCAATGTGAAGAATGAAGTCACCATTGATTCTAAATGAGTAAGACTTCTTCCCACCATCCTTTCTTGAAGTTTTCAGTAAGCTTTTGCAAAGTCTTTCCTTCTTTAGATGAATGACTCCTCATTTACCTTAATATTGTGATTGGGGGGTAATACCCCGTTTTTTCATTTTGGAAACTGTTCGACCTCTCATTGGAAGCAACATAATTTTAAACTTGCACTCTCTCACTCCTTTCAGGGTAGTATCCATCGGGGAGCCATGGGGAACATAACAGAGCCCGTAAAGACTGTCATTCGAAATGGAATGAAGGAACAAAGAGGGTTTCTTCAGGAAGGAAACACGGCAAGAATTTAGCAAGGGGAGCATGGTCTTTCTGCTACCGGTAGTTGCATAAATCCTCAGACTTGTGGGAGTTTCCTGGCTCACACCTAAGGCGGCTGTGGATGACTGTGTTGCCCATAGCTAAGATGGCTGCTAATGAACATCTCCTTTGGCTGGGCCGGTACTTTTGCTCGCTAGTGTTTTCAGTGAGAAATAAAGTTAATAAAATTTAGTAAAATTTGACATCTTCTTAGTAAGAAGGCAAAATAGGAAGTAGACATGGTCTATTTAAACAATTACAACTGCTCCAATTCCTCTTGCCCTTAACCAAAATGGTCGTCAAGGTTGTTTTGAGGTTTGAAGCTTCTCGCCCTTAACTAAGATGGCGCCAGGAGGCTAGTTAAAAATTAGCTTGCCCTCTTTTCTGCCCTAGACCAACACGGTTTCCGCGGCGTCGTTCACGTGACATCTCCGGACTACGGCGCGGGAGAGGGAGTAGGAGGGCCCTTGAAGGGTGCGCGTTCCCGTGGCGGTGCACCCGGTAGGTTTCAGTCAGAGTCACTATGGCGGCCGGCGCTGGCAAGGTAAGCTGAGGCGGCGGCGGCAAAGGAGGCAGGACCCGTCGTGGCGTCCTGGCTCAAAATCCTCGCAGTCAGTCTGCGGAGAGGTCGGCTGAGGTTGTGGCAGAGACGGGGGCTGGCGGGGGCTGGCTCAGGGAACCAGGGCTGAGGCGGGCGGGCACAGGCGCCTGACGGCCGTTTGTTTTGATGTTTTCCCTACCAGGTCGGAAAGTTTCCTGCCTCGTCGGGCACAGCCTGAGCTTGCCCGCCGGCCGCGAGTGGTGGAGGCTGCGGTGGACCCAGCCCGGGCCCTCGAGGCCTCCCCCCAATCTCCGGGCCAGTCTCCCTCCCCCACCTCCCCGTCCGCCGGGAGCTGCGGCTGCCGACCCTGAGATGCGACCCTCGCGGGGGCGACCCTGAGGGGAGGCGGCCCGTGTGCTGAGCAGCAGCCAGGAGTCCAGGGACCAACTTCCCGCCGGCCGGGACCCGCAGCCGCCCCCGGGGCGCGCCTTGCTTGGTCCGCTCCGGCCTGTGGAGCCGGGTCCCCGCCCTGGTCGCGGGGACACCCGCCAGGTGCCCGGGAGTCGCGACTCAGCTGCTGCCCGGGCCCCTGCCAGCCCCCACGCCTCGCGCGGAGGACCCCGTTACCGCCGCCTCGGCTCGCGCCAGGCCGGGGACCCCGCGCCCCCTCCCGCGGCGGCCTCCGCGCAGCAGGGGCGATGCGGACGGTCCCGCTGGCCGTCTAGACCCCTCGCCGCCTCCCTCGCCGCCCGCCGGCCCTCCCGGGCGAGCACGGGTGGCGACTACTCAGAGGAGCTCGGCTGCAGCTTCCTTCGGGCCGAAAGGACCTTTCTGGCCGCGCCGAGCGACCCTTCCTTCATGCTGCAGTGCTGCAACGTTTCCGCCGCCGAGAGGGAGAAGCGGCCGCGATCTCAAACCAAACACAGGGATTGGTGTGTGACTCATCTGCTTGGATACCTCCAGTCCCCAAACTGTCTTCCAGGAGTTTTCTTGTCCAAAGCTGCCCGATGTTTGAGACTTTTCTTCCCAGGGAAGAAGATGGATTGAAAGCTTCCAGTTGGGGACTTTTTGTGATTAGGGCGCTGCTGGGTTTTAAAGGAGGTGATGGGGCTTGCGCTGGCTCGTCTTCCCACCCAAGTGAAGAGTTGCTGATGTTAACTGGTTATGCTTAGACAATGCGCAGTTTGTTTTAATTTAAAATTTCAGGGGGGAGATAGGGATATAGGTTTGTGAGGGGCAGTCCGGTTCTGGAGGAGCTCGTCTTTGTCCCTGGTAGGAGAGACACCCCCAGTCTATCCTCGATGCCGTCAGCCTTGGCCATCTTCACTTGCCGTCCGAACTCGCACCCGTTTCAGGAGCGTCATGTCTACCTGGACGAGCCCATCAAAATTGGCCGCTCAGTGGCCCGCTGTCGACCAGCGCAGAATAATGCCACCTTTGATTGCAAAGTGCTGTCAAGGAACCATGCTCTCGTCTGGTTTGATCACAAGACTGGCAAGGTAATGTCACCACATTGTCTATCAATCTTTACTTTTCCTTTCTCTCTGAAAGGCATAATATATTCAGGATCCCAGTGTTTGCATCCAGAGGATTGTTTGAGCAAGGCCACGGAATCAACTGTTTGCCTGGTTCTAGTGGAAATTTAATTGAGGTGGTTGAATGGAAAACGGAGACGGTGTTGTAATTAAATGCCTCAGGAGGGCGATGGCATCTTGATAATGTGGTCATTCCCAGTGAAATCCCAAACCCTAATTCATTTCGGAAAACTAGATAGTGAAACTTGGCGTCTTGCTTTTAATCTTTTTTGGAAAGGTGAATTTGCAGTTCAGTGCTTTATTAAGCAAGCAGCAGTTCCCAAAGCAATGTAGGGAATCCGTGGTCATTATTACACTGGGGCTCAAGTGTCACAGTGGTGAAATGTAGTTAACACGCAGCTTTTTAGTTGAGTTCAGATCAGGGCCTTTCTAGTAAGGATAATTGTGTATGTAAACCTAATGTTTTTGATAGATTTGACACATATTTGTCCTTGAGGGAATAATTTGTGAGAAAGTTAATTTCAATAAGTATAAACAACTCTTAACTTTATATTTTCAGAATTTTGTTTATAAGTCGGGTGAACAGATATGTATTGCTTTTGAAAGTAACTTTTTGATGTTCCCTGTAGCCTTTAGTAAATATTTAATGCATATCACAAAGGTGATATTCAAAAATTGGGAATTTAACTTATTTTCTGAAATTATATCTACTTCTATCAATTATAACATTATCTAAATGTGATAGGATGAATTTAGTGCTTTTCATTTTAAGTGTAAGTAACCATTTTAGCATTTTTATGTTGGCACCCTAATTTACTATACATGTGTGTGCTTATATTTTAAGAAATTAAGAAAAAGAAGTAAGATTCTTTCCTTTTTCAAAGCTATCTATGTGTGTGCCGCGTGTGGTAAAGAGCTCTTTGTGACTAAACCTCAGGTTTTAGTTGAGCTAGTGAATCCGTTCCAACTTAAAGTAAGTTATGTAAGACTAATAGGGATATCTCAGGTTTCACCTAACTTTTCACTTGCTCTGAGTTAAATGATTAAGTCTGTCTTTTTTTTTTAACGTATTATGGGGGTACAAGTGTTAAGGTTATATATATTGCCCATGTCCCCCTCCCCCTCCAGTCAGAGCTTCAAGTGTGTCCATCCCCCAAACGTTGCACATCTTACTCCTTGTGTTTGTATATACCCCTCCCCTCCTCCCCACTTCCACCTGCCGGACACCCAATTAAGTCTGTCTTAAAAGAAGAATTCAAGTCTTCAAGAGTAGTGTTTTGAAATGAAAGAAACCTGAGTCTCAAGAGAGAAAGCAATACTGCTGCAGCTATTGAATTAATAAATTATTATATTAATATAAATTATTTTCAAAAGGAAAAGATTGTCCAAGTGCTGTGTGTTTGCATAATACCTCTAACCTTACTCTGTGTGTAGGATGAGAACTGAAAAGTATGTTAAGTTTTCTGTGTCACACCAGGTGCTCACTTACCTCCAGAACAGACCCTTTTATTCTTGCTGCAGCTAAAGTTTGAGCGTCTCAAAGACTTCATCCATTACCCGTAATCCTTTAAAACTGCAGTCCTCAATGCCCTGGACCAGTACTGGTCTGTGGCCTTTTAGGGACTGTGCCACAGACCTCTGCCCCACCAACCCCTTTTCCCATGGAAAAATTGTCTTCCGTGAAATGAAACTTACGAAGGGGGGTGGGTGGGTGGTGAGCAAGCTATTTATAGCCACACCCCGTGGATAGCATCACTGTCTGTGCTCCACTTCTCCCCTCCCCCATGGAAAAATTGTCTTCCATGAAACAAGTCCCTGGTGCCAATATCCATAGATCTCATCTTTCCAGTAGTTCAACTCAAACATCAGTTAACTGGCCGGTCGTGATGGCTCACGCCTATAATCCTAGCACTCTGGGAGGCCGAGGCGGGCGGATTGCTCGAGGTCAGGAGTGCGAAACCAGCCTGAGCAAGAGTGAGACCCCGTCTCTACTATAAATAGAAAGAATTAATTGGCCAACTAATATATATATATGGAGAGAAAAATATAGCTGGGCACGTGCCTGTAGTCCCAGCTACTCAGGAGCCTGAGGCAGGAGGATCACCTGAGCCCAGGAGTCTGAGGTTGCTGTGAGCTAGGGTGATGCCATGGCACTCACTCTAGAAAAAAAAAAAAAATCAGTTAACTACTAGTTAGTGCCTTAACTCAACCAGCTTTTACAGTTTTGCCTTTTTATGTAGGCAATAGGTTCAACCTAAACAGATAGCAAGTTTGCTCACAATACATACTCTGCATATGCACTTTCTTTGATTCAGCACTCAAAGGAGACTCAAATTATTCTTTTACTTATTTGAAAAATAATGATTTCATGCGCATTGCTTTCCATGGCTATATTAAAACCTTCATAGTAGGTTAGTTGAGATGACTAAGAATATATTAGTAGTGAGTGTTTAGCTATGAATTGAGATGACATGTTAAAATTTTGAATGGAATTTGTTATTTAGAAAAACTTTTCTTTGAAGGGTAGATATGGCTTATTTCTACCATTTTCACTTGATTACCCTTCGGCTTTATTAGCTAAAATGACACTGAGGATATGAAGCTGTTACTTTAGGTGTAGATACAATTAGTGATTATTATACCACCTACTCTAGTTAAAACGAATACCATGTCAGATCTTGCCATGTGATCAAATTGTTCTAGGCATTAGCTATTTAAAGTTTTGGTTTGGGCCGGTGGAGGTGGAGGTGGCTCACGCCTGTAATCCTAGCACTCTGGGAGGCCGAGGCTGGTGGATTGCTCAAGGTCAGGAGTTGGAAACCAGCCTGAGTGAGACCCCGTCTCTGCTAGAAAAGAAAGAAATGAATTGACCAACTAAAAAAATATATATATACAAAAAGTTAGCCAGGCATGGTGGCACACGCCTATAGTCCCAGCCACTCGGGAGGCTGAGGCAGGAGGATTGCTTGAGCCCAGGAGATTGAGGTTGCTGTGAGCTAGGCTGACGCCACGGCACTCACTATAGCAACAAAGTGAGACTCTGTCTCAAAAAAATAAATAAATAAATAAATAAAGTTTTGGTTTGGACAGACAGTAGGGTTTTTATTGATCATCTGTTATGTACCAGACACTGTGAAGGACACAGTTCCAAAGACACTGGACACAGTTCCAGTTTGACGAAATATTTATGGGTCTTTGTGAGAAATTTGCAGTTTGAGGATTTCTGCTATAATTGTCTCAACAAAATTCCCCAGGCTTAAAATATATTTCTAGCAAATTTCTATGTATGAAACACAAGAATCCCTTCTGTAAGTATTACCTCAGGCAAGTTTTTCTTTGTTTTTTTTTTTTTTTTAACATCTCTAAGCCCGTTTTCTCTACTGGGGATAATAATGGTACCTACTATTGTTTTGAGAATTGAGATAGTCATATAAATCACTTAGCACCCTGTGCCTGGCTCTTATTAAGAGCTCAATGTTAATGCTTAGTGGGGAGAATGTTTGTGGGGGGGAGAGGGAACCCACAGTACTTTGCAATTTGCTATGGATGGTGTAGAGTCTTAGGAAGGTAATTAGAAATTATTTTCTTTAATGTGGTAGCATATGTAGTAGTAATTTTTAAAACAGAAACTAATGATGACTTTGTCCAAATTGGCAGTTTACCTGGGATGTGGAAAATGGGGGTAATGTGCCCTTTGGTTGGCTTTTAATTTGTGGGTGACTGTTGCATTCTGCATGGGCCATTATGGGAGGCCTATTAAAAGATGGAAGAAATAATAAACACTTGGAGCTTTCTGATTATTCAAGTGATACATGTTCATTATAGGAAATTTGCAAAATATACACAGATGGAAATCTAAGTGACACTTTTTACACTTGATCTTAGCCAAAAGGCTGAGAAGTGATTAAGTGACACTTTTTAATGCTAAGTTCATTGACTATCTTGTACTTAAACCTTCATGTTGGAGGGTGACAGGTTTGCCACAAAGCAGAGTTTAATAATCCTTCCCAAATCATCTTCTCAGGGATGGATGTAGCAGTTGAATATTGTCTTGCTTGGATGCTGGCCCTGTATATCATCCTTCACTCCTTTTTGGAGGTCAAGCTCTTCAAATTAGGTGGGAGATAATAGAATGGTTATTAATCCCTCTGCTGACTCAATGTACCACTGAGCAAGCAAATCTACCATATGGTGGTTCCCTTGAGATTTGGATGGCCTTATTTGATTTGATGCTTTGAGGACGAGTGACACCCTAGTGGTTAGTTGACACAGTAGTCTATTTCCAGTCTCACTGTGGTTTACTTAGTGGTAGTAATAGTTGTTTATGTCTAGTTTCACTTTTTTACTTAAACTCAATGTATATTTTTGAGCACTTATTTTATCATGATCTGTTTTAATGAAGGGCATAGTGGTGATGGGGGATGAATGACAAGAACTGGTAAGAAATTGTTATTCCTTTTTTCTAGGAGCTTATGTTTTGGATAAAGAGGGTGATTGCACCTTGAAAACAATCGATTGAGGTATATAATATATATGTTTAAATGGCAAGAGAGTGATGGTGTTTGACTTTAAAATTGAGATGGATAGATATAAGAAAAGGTTAAGCATTCTTTTCATTGTTTTTATTTGTTTGGAGTGGGTGAAGGTGGAAAAAATAAACAAAAGCAGATAATTTTCAACAAGTTTGGCATCTTCCAAACACTGAGGAAGCTGATTTTGTTGGGTTGGAGAGTTCTTTTGAAGAATACCTATTGGTAAACATCTATTCTCTGTTAGATTGTTTTTATGTTTGTGCCTTGTTTTTGTATTTAATTGTCAGACCCTGGAGTAGAGGGACTCAGCCATATGTGTCTTTTTCCTTCTAGTTTGTATAAAGTAAATGAAGCTGAGTAGATAGTATGGTGCCAGCTTGTGGAATGCCTTGCTTACCAAGCTAAGGACATGGACCCATGTGTTATGGAAGA